TGTGTGTGTGTGTGTGTGTTTTGGTCACCTTGTAAACCACCTGATGTGAGAGAGGCTTCAGAAAGGTTCGAGAGCAGAAAAGACTTGAACAAAACAAGCGTCCCCCACAGACCACCACGTCTCCACGGAGACGGACTGCAGGGGGTGGGGTTAGAGAGGGTGTGGGAGAGTAGAGAACGTACCTTCTCCAGCTGGGGTCAGGAGGCGGTGACAGGTAGGCGGAGTTATACGGTGAGTTGTCCACCTGAGGAGACGACCGGTTAAGGAAACAAAGATATATTTTCATTTCCTTTATATTTACAATGAAAAGCTGAGGCTGCGTGTTTCAGTCTTTACTGCGTTCTAGTGAAAATAAGAGGCAGTTGAAAATGGTCATCAGTTGTAGCTTCACTCTCACTGTGCGTCCTGCAGCTCTGATGAACAGACGGTGGCTGAGGCGCGTGTTCAGGGTCATTTGACCTTTTTGATCCAATTTTATGCTTTCCCTGTTTTTCAGTGTCTCTCTGTGCACCACTCAAAGAACAGATTTTTTAAATTTGGCCTCTGAAAACAATGTTAGAAGTGAAACCGAGTGAAACCTCCATTAATCTGCTAAAGGCACCAGTCACAAAAAATAGCCAGAGGGCCCGTTTTAACTCCAGTTCCTTCTCTTCCACTGGCTCCAGCTCCGTTCACTTTTTCTGTATCTGCATCAAAATGCGTTATCAATTCTAACTGAAGAGAAATCCTGCCCCTGTATGAAACCACATTTAAATTCACTGGATCCTGATCTTTATTTGAATCTGCACCGAATCTCACACACTCATTTTCATCAAGATCCTTGAATCTGAGAAATCAGTGAAAATGTTGAAAAACGTCTCATCTCACTGATAAAGTGAAAATAAATTCCGGGGTCTGTTCCAACACTTTCCCTCTGACCCATAAACACATCCGTCCACCAAGTGTGGATTGAAAATACTTTGTTTACTCCCGTTTGTTTGATGAAAACTAGAGTGAGCAGCTGATTTTAAGATTTGAAGTCTGCAGTGGGAACCAATGAGCTCAGAGCCACAGACACAATGATCTGAAGGATACCGGTCGGTTGCGGTACGGTCGGACTGGCGAGATGAAGCGGCGGTCCCTCTGGACTCGCTCCACCAGGCCGTGATGGCGAGTCGACCTGCTGGACTCCAGAGTGGAGGGGAAGGAGCCCTGAGAGAGAGAGAGAGAGAAACAGACACTGACTATGTTTGAAAGATATTTGAAATGTTAGCAGGGAACGTGTAAAACTTATTTTCTGAGCTTTTTTAAGAATTTAATTTGAAGGATATTTTCAGGACAATGACAAAACCATTTACTGTGATTTGAATGTTTCTTTCAGATGTAATTTATTTTTTTATTCTGCATTGTGAAAACCGAGCTGCTTTTCTTACTCTGACTAAATGACTCATTTATATCTTGTTCCTGATCTGCTGTGGTGACATCGGACAGAGAATCTGTTTGGACGACAACTTAAATACTTTGATGTGTGCGACAAACTAATGACATGTTTTGATTTTCCAGGTGCTTGACGAACACTGGGACTTTTTATTAAAGAACTAAAAGTTGAACACTTTATGCATCTGTGGTTTCCAAAGAGTCAAATCTAAAATGTTGCTTTCATATGATGATTAAACTTTAACTTCTTTCTTGGAAAATCAAAACCTGGAAGGAGAAATGTGTCGCATTGCAGAGGCTGGACCTCCCACATTCCTCTGCTCAGAGGAGCTGGGCTGCCAAAAACATCCTGCTACCTGCTGCCAAACGAAAATCTGACCTCAGAGACGCAGGAGGAGGAGGAGGAGGAGGAGGAGGATGAGGAGGAGGAGGAGGAGGAGGAGGAGGAGGAGGAGGAGGAGGAGGAGGAGAAGGAGGAGGAGGAGGAGGAGGAGGAGGAGGAAGGCATGCAGATGACACAAGGAGGAGAGTGGTGATACCCGTGATGGACAGGAAGATGAAAAACCTTCAGCTTTGCTCTGCAGAGCTGATGAGTCAGAGGTGAAGACTGAGTCCTCGTTGAAATTCAACCGCTTTTTCTTAACGACTGTTTTGGTTTTGTCAGTTGTTGAGTGGAACAGCTAAGAATAGTGATAGTTTTAAAAGTAGTAGGTTGTAGTAAGTGATGGCACCAGTTGGTGGCAGTGTTAGAGAAAGATGTGTAAGAGCAGTAAGAGTAAATCAGAGCCGGTGTCGTCACCTGATAGTCCTGAGGGCTCCTGCCGATCTGGTTGACGTTGGGTAACGAGCCGCCGTAGTACGGACCCTGACTCCTGGCGAGACGGAGCTTCTGAGCCTGGAGCTGACAAGACAAGAAAAAACAAAGACGTTATGTTTATATTCACATTCACATACTTTATATTTAAATAAAGTGTTGGACAAAGTGTGTATACAGGGCGAGAGGGCGGTTGATCACCGCTCTGATGATTTTCACTCTTTGACTCTTTGATGCGAGCCGTTGACTCAGTGAGGTCAGCGGCAGCTGCAGCACTTCACATGCTACCAACACTGTGAGGCAGCTCAACCATCGCTGCAGGGGACATCAGTCCCAGTCTTACACATCAGTCACGGGACACCGTGTCGTACACAGAACACCCAACAAACAATGGATCATACAGAGAAAATACGAAAGTAAGCCGCAGCGAGGACGCCAAAGGTCAGAGGTCACAATGCCGTGAGTAAAAAGTTTCCAGTGCAACGACTAGAATGTCACTAAGTAGAGACTGACTTGTCCCTCACTTGTTCCTGGCGTGTCCCTGACGTGTCCTTCACTTGTTCCTGACTTGTTCCTGACTTGTCCCTCATGTGTTCCTGACTTGTCCCTCACATGTTCTTCACATGTTCCTCACTGAGTCAGTGTATCTGGACATTATCTGGATCTTCTCCTGCAGCCTCTAGTAAAACATCTGTAAAATGTCAGAGTGAGTCCATGAGAGAAAACATCAGGAGAACATCTGGAACCTTCCCAGTGAGGAAGTGGGCGTGTCTCTGAGGTTTCTAACACAAACGTCTCAGGATGAAGAAGAGGAGCCGTACACGTAGAAGACGAAGACGTCAACTTGGAAAGACGAGGAGGTTCCAGATGTTTCGGTGATGAGGGCCGACGCCGTGTGGACGAGCTGTAAACAACAACACTGATCTTTACACAGCAGAGTTTAGACGTCATGTCCCGCCTCCTGCTGCACTGCAGGCTCCACCCCCGTCTGAGCCCACATGTTCCTGTTGTTGTGAACGAGTCGGACGATCTGTTGCTTCACAGGACAAACACAAAATGTCCAGAGAACAGATCATTACATTTCTGACATTACATCCTCCTGAATCTGACACTGGGCCTTTTTTCGTTTCCACTGAGCAGCTGAATTTGTGTCTCGATCAGAAGTGACGACACTTCCGCCACCTCCTCTGACCAATTTCCTGGGGAAAACCCTGAACGATATTGTTACTGCATGAAGTTCTGACAAACTCTTCACTCAGCCATGAAACAAAAACTGAAGCTGAGCAAAAGATTTGGGAATATTGTTTTTTTTTTTTTGGACAAGTGAAGAAAAGCCCTGTCCCTGCCGACCTCAGACTTCTCTCCACAACATATGACGCAACAACTGACGCTAGAACGATGAAGCTGTTGTTCCTCTGACGGACATTAAAAGCTGCTGTACGTTTTATTTTGAACCAGATTCCGTTACAGAACACGAAACATAAAAGAAACTGTTGAAGAAGACAAACCTGAAAACACAGGTCGATATCAACAGCATGTCCACACACACACACACACACACACACACACACACACACACACACACACACACACACACACACACACACACACACTCTTGAAAGTGTGGTGAAGTGATTTCCTCTCATCTCTCTCCTCGTCCTTTATCAGTCTGTGTCCTTGGTTCAGGCAAACATTACCGGACCCTTATCAAACTTCTATAAAACTCAAAGGAAGAATCAAGCTTTGTTTAAATCAGTTTCAGTGCTAACATTAACGCAGCCGTGTCAGTGTCTGAGTGCTTTTGTCGAAACGTCTCAGTCAGTGAACTAATCATTGTCCCGAGAGGAGAATCATTGTTACTGCATCCCCGTGGATGGGTGTCGAGGTCCGGCCCTCGTCCACTTCAGGTTTAATCATCTGCTTTGGCCGTAGAGTTGCTCTGAGAGAGACGACTGGATGTAAGACTTTGATAGGACAAGAGACACTCAGCCTGATACTCAGGTTGACATTTTGTGGGGGTGTAATCATTAGCAAAAGTCATTAGCATTAGCACTGCAGTGGAGAAATCATTTCGCTGCCACCACATACACAGAAACTAGAACGGCCTCCGTACGGCCTGTCACCATATTTACGTTAGCGACTTATCGTACGATATATGGACACAACCACCATCAATTTCGCCAGCCTCCATATTGCCTGTGTGTTTACTGTAGCGACCAGTGTTGGATCACGTCCCCGCCCACCTGTCAGAGTTCATTCATTCATGTTTTCCACAATCAGTCAATAAACGAATCACAACCCCAGACCTGCGTACTGATCGACGGGACGGTGAGTGTCCTGTATATATTGTATACAGAGCAATGATGTATTGAACTGCCACACGGATACTTCTTCCTGTTTTCTTTCCTGAGTTGTTGGTTTGAGGAGATCGACGGTAAAACCCAGAGCAGTTTATTTTTGTTGGTGTTTGCTTTAATTGAACTGGATTGAACTGTGTGTTTTGCTTGTGAGTGAGACTGAGACGTTCTAAATACACGGATTGAACTCTGGACGCTGAGACTGGGGCACAAAAAATTTAAATGACAATATTATCGTTCACTGCCATTATTTCTGGGACAATATGTCGTCCAACAAAAATGGTTATGGTGACAGGCCCACCTCATCCACATGAGCATTATAGCTGAGTATCAGTGTCACACAAGTGAAAACACTTGTCACATGACCGTTCATGTCCACTGGTCATGTGGTGTAAACAGGAGGTAGATTGTCTCGTCTACAGTTGGTTGCCTAGTTACAGAAAATCCTCAGATGGAGGAACAGTGATGGTGAAGAGTCAGAGCAGGGATTTCTTTTCTGCTACTCTTACTGACAGGAAGTGTTAGCGACGCTTTGTGTTCACCGTTGGTGGTTTCTGTTCGTCCAGAATAAAACACAAGCCCAGAGTTTTCAAACTGAAACGAGACCAGTTCACACAAGTCTCTGATTCAGAGAGCTCTGGGGTAGTGTGGACACCAGACGTAACCATAGCAACAGTGATGAGTTTTCAAACTACAACGTAGTAACGTGGACGCATCCTGAGTGTTCCCAACAGATCCACAGTGAGAATTCTGAGCGTCTCGCTTCACGTCATCCGAACTGAACTTTCTGTCAAACCTTAATGTATGAAGCTGACCGCCAGTTTAATCAGCATTTCAATGACACATTAACTCATCAATGACAGATACCTTACATTAAAAGACTGGACGAGCAGCATCGATCCTCCTCACCCAGGTGTCAGATCTAAAACGTCCACTGAAGAGTTAAACCAGTCCATCTGTCCAGCTGGACTTTCTAGACTGTGTTTCTTTGGTGAATGAACCAACGAGCTCAGCTCCGACTCCCTGTAGCTCAGCGCTCTGGTTTCAGGAGCAGTTCTGCCCCGATGCTCCAAACCATCAGAGTCCTGAGAGAAGACAGCCTCCCTGAAGTAGACCTGATCACAGTTTGACCTGAGTGTGTCTTTCTAAAAACACACAGGATTCAAAGCACCGATGAATTACTGCACTATTACACCATTTTGAATATGTCACAGATCTGTGGGGGGGCACAGCTCTCATCTGTCTGGATGACTGAAGCGGCTCCTTCTTTAGTGGCCTCACTCTTGAATCCAGAGAAACATCTGACCATAAGTCTACTGTGAGTTTGTAAATGAGAGAATCACACATGAGCAGCGTGTCACCATGAAGCCCCACAACAGAGCAGATCCCTGCAGAGAGAGAGAGAGAGAGAGAGAGGCCCTGACACATGGGACTCTCTCAAAGTACTTTACACTCGATCGGTCGTTAGGGGAAGTTATGACTTTCTACTGCGTGAAGTCAATCAGTGAGGAGAGTTTAAAATGAGCTTCAAATATCATGAAATCAAATGTAACTGTCTTCAATTTACAGCCGAACTGACCAGAAGACGTTAAAGAAGTCAAATGTATTAAATCAACTTGTACGTGTTGAATATATGTGTCACGACGAGTCGCGTCCAGCTCGAGTGAGAGATTTCTGAGCGGAGTTCTGTGCGCTGAGGCTGGCGACATAGTAAACAAGTCAGTTAGCTGCGGAGGCTAACGGAGGCTAGCTCCGCGAACGTCGCATCGGAAATGAAGGAAACAAGTTTCTGCTCCGAGTCTGAGAAACTAACTCCGCTCTCTGTCCGCTCAGCTCCACGTCCGCTGGACAAACCGAGACCGGGAGCAGGCGCCATGTCGGGCCAGCGGATCACGTTAACTCGGAGCCTGACAGCCCGGGTTAGGCCTCTCTTCCTCCGGGCAGCTCTCCTCCTCCTGCCCCCGTCTCACACTCACCCTGGTGGAGGTGATGTCCATCATGACCTCCTGGAAGGCGGCCGTCTCCTCCGCCTGTCGCTGGGTGTGCAGCGCGATCTTCTCACTAAACTTTCGCGGGTTAGAAGCCCCGGACCCGGATCCCGAGGCGGGTCCGGGTCCCGGGGCACAGCCGCCTGGACCCGTCGCAGACATGTTCACCAGCGACGGGACGAGCTGACGTAGTGGAACCAGCCGCAGCACAGAGGGGCCGCACGAAGAGGAGGGCTCACTCTGAGGACACTTCTGAGGACCAAAAACACCAACCAGCCTGCACCCAGATCTGTGTCGTTACAAATAAAGTTATACATGATAAACTTTATCTTGATCTAACTAACTAGATAACTAACTAACTAACTAACTAACTAACTAACGAACTAACTAACTAACCAACTAGATAACTAACTAACCAACTAGATAACTAACTAACTAACTAACTAACTAACTAACTAACTAACTAACCAAGTAGATAA